TCCTATAGTACATCTTGTCTGCCCCAGCCATAGTAGTATGGTGTAGAAAAGTCTGACACCATATTGGCCTAAGATGTGCTCTCACATCAGCGAAGATAGCAAAAGCTTGGCAAAATTAGTTTTGCGAACCATGGTACCCATTCTGAGAACTTGCAGCCCACACATCTACAATTAGGGATGGGCATGAACCAGCTCACAACCTAAAGTTCATGATGAATTTTGGCCAGTTCATTGTCTGAAGGTGTTCATAGAGGTTCATTGCAGTTTATGAATGGATAAATTTCCAGACAGATTGTCTCTGCTCAGTCAAGACGTTTACCAAACTTCAAAGTCAATTTTAAAGTCTTTTTATTTCTTTATTTTTATTTCTTTCTAGTGATGGACTGCAGTGACAGAAGAGAACGATTAAGGGAGGGGATTTCATATTATAGGAGTTTCACTATGATAGTTTGACATGGATTGTTGCAAAATAGTATTCCGAAGCCTTTGGAAAGGGAGACATTGTTAAAAACTGCCAGAAGAGATGTAGTTGGGCAGCACAATTTTTGGTGTGTTTTGTTTTGTTTTTGACCCCCCAAAGGGCATTTTTTTTTTCAGTTTCTACACACTACACACTACAAATATGGGATGGGGAAAGGAATACTAATGCCCTATCACTATTACTATGGGAAATGGGTCAGGGAGATCTAGATACATATAGTCTACTGGATAGGGGAAGGAAAACTACCATTCTATTCTAAATCTCCTACTGGATATGGGGATAGGGTAAAGACTAATACAAATCACGATCTGAAAAGCTAAAAGAATAGATCTTTTTAACCTATTAGTACAGGTTATACAAAGATTAGTTTGATTATAAAAATATAAAGTTATTTTGTTGTTGTTCAGTCACACAGTCGAGTCCGACTCTTCGCGACCCCATGGATCATCTCCCGCCAGGCCCTCCTGTCTTCCGCCGTCCTCTGAAGTTATTAGCTTGGCACAATTACTGCCCTTAGCACTCATGCTTTAGTTTTAGAGTCCTCTCTTTTTAGATTTCTTCATTTTCTACAGTTTGGGAGTGGCCTCTCCTTTCTCCGATTCAGATGATTCTGATGATGAGGAAGTTTGGCTTGTTGAGTCCTGTGAGTAGGACTCCTCTTCTTCTTCTTCCTCCACATCTGGTTTTAGATTCTTTTACTTCTGCTTATTTTTTACATTGAACATTTGATCCATAAATCTTCCCGCTTTTGGAACAGAGTCAATTATATATTTTTTATCCTGGTAATTAAAACTCAACCCTTCCGGGAATATCCATCTATATGGTGTTCCCTTTCCCCCCCGCAAAAATAAATAAACTGTGGTGTGCTTGTGTGTGTGTATGTGTGGAGAAAAAGTTAAACATACATACATATGTATTGTGGGGATGACTAAATTATCAGAATACTTAGAGTTTCTCTGTATCTGTGCAATATATTTGAATTGTAAATACAATGTTGAATGACTCAGTACTTTTAAATGAGGCTTCCAGAGAAAATGAAGTTTAATGGGAACATAATTAACGGGGAAGTATGTTTTAAAAAGTCTTGAGTTATCTTTATGTTTGAGGTAAACTGCATTCAGAATAAATGGAATGCATGCAGGCCAGTTGTTTCTTAAGTTCAGTTGGAAAGACCCAACACATGGTGCCCTTTGCAAATTGTGGCCTTTTCCTTTTCCATATAGCTTCATCACTTTCTGAGAGGTGTCTCATTTAACAACAGCGTTGGTGATAAGGTTTCTTTTGACCATAATGGGGAGTTGGTATCTGGATTTGATATTATAAACTGGATTTTTTCATCAAACCAGTCCTTTCAGAGAGTGAAGGTTGGGAGGATGGATCCACAAGTTCCCCCAGACCAAACACTCACCATTGATGAAGATGCCATCATATGGGACAACTGGTTTAATCAGGTAGGATGCAGGTTTGAATGAATATGGCTTTTAGTCATGGTGGGCAACGTGAACTTCATTAGACAGTGCAGAATATGTATGAAATAACAGGTGATTTTTTACCTAAAACTACCTACAGTGTATGAACTGATGTTTCCAGTGTAAGAACTAATGTAACAAGTGAGCTTCTACAAAGTTTTTCCATGGTCCTTCACTAATATATTTCCCAGAAACTTAGAGGAGGGCATTGAAAATAGATTTCTGCTTTATAAATTAAGACACCAGTAGAAGATGAGATTTATTTACTTATTTTTGCTTATTAGAAAGTGTTTTTCCTTGAACCTGCTCAAGGTGTATTACAAAATAACAGACTAAAGCAACAGATTTCAGACAACAATGGTGATGGGTTTTTTTTTTTACTCCTTATTTAAAAATATAAGAGAAGCCAATGTTGGGTCAGGCCAATGGCCCATCCACTCCAACACTCTAGGTGTAGTTTTAAATAGTTTCTAAGCTTCCCCTATGGTTCTGACTCTTTCTACTTTTCCTTTCAGTTTCCTCCCCACATGTCCCCTCATATCAGAGAAGTTCCCCCTATTAAAGTTAAAAGTGCTTGTTTCAGTCTTTTGGGCCAATTCCCTATTTATACAAATGTTGAACTCAATAACATTATGGTCACTGTTCCCAAGTGGTGCAATCACCTTGACATCTCTCACCAGGTCTTGGGCGTTATTTCGGAATAAATCCAGGATCGCCTCTCCCTTGGAAGGTTCCATGACCATCTGCTCCATAGCACAGTCATTTAGAGTGTCTAGAAACTCAATATCTTTTTCTCGACTAGAACACATATTGACCCAATCAATGTGTGGGTAGTTAAAATCACCTATTACAACACAGGATTTTTGTTTTGTTTTTTTGGTCTAGCCGCTATCTTTAATTCCTTCATGATTTCATAATCTTCCTCTATCTTTTGATCTGGTGGGCGATAACAAACTCCCAATGTTAAGTTTCCTTTTGGGCCCACTATCTCAACCCACAGCATTTTCAGAAGCGAATTCAATTCTCTTACCTTCTCAGTCTTACTGGACTGTATACCCTCTCTGACACACAGAGCCACCCCAACTACAACCCTTCCCCCTCTATCCTTCCGATATAATATATAACCGGGAATCACCGTATCCCACTGATTTTCCTCATCCCACCAAGTTTCTGAAATACCCACAATACCTATTTTTCCCTCCAACACCAAGCACTCCAACTCCCCGATTTTACCTCGGACACTTCTAGCATTTGTATAGAAACAGCTGTAATTTCCCATACAAGTT